GAGTATTTTATAAAATAAGCTCATTTTGACATTTGTCCCAGATACTGAGTGAAGTTGCCACCAGGACTATGGATCCTTTTTTGGAGTCACTAGCATGGGGGCCCGAAACTTTAGTGAAATGTTGGTCTGTCTATTTTGTCAATGGTTACAAATATCACACTCGAGCCTATGGAAACAATAAACCCACAATGAACAGTGGAGTGTGTGTCCCACATGCAGTTATGATAACTCAGAGACTGATTTTTTTGGATATGTTGACGAGATACTAGAGATGAAATTTGCAGGTGAGAAGGAGTTATCCATTGTACTTTTCCGATGCACTTGGGTAGATCCCGTGAGGGGGGTGAGAAAAGACGACACACACAGTTTACGCGATGTGAATCATGCGCAGGTATATCCGAAAAACGAGCCATTCATTTTAGCTCAACAAGCTGCCCAAGTTTATTACGCAGAATATCCGACAACAAAGCAGAGAATATCTCCTTGGGTTTGCGCTTGCACAATTAGACCAAGAAAAGTCGTTTCTCATGCAATACATAAGAATGTCGATATTGACGTTTATCAACAAGAGTCTTTTCTAGCTCTGGTTCCACAAACCATTGACGAGAAACTTATTTTGGACGATTTTAGTGGAGCAGAAATAGAACCTGACCCCAACGACGACAACGATGACCCCAACAAAGGAAGTCACTATGAAGAGGATTGGAACTTCAAGACGGAAGATACAGATGAAGATGACTACATTGACAATACTGACCTAGATACTGAAGATGAAGATGAATGAACAATGTGTAATTTATAGCTGTTTTGAAATTTTGAATTCTACTTCTCCTGAATAATGTTTTGTATCTCGTACTGAATAATGCCAATTATTTCGTCTTAATTTCTTCTTCATTACTTAAAAAAAATAGAATAATTTACTTTTAAAAAATTACTTCCATGACATTTCGTCTTAATTTCGTCTGAATAATTTACTTTCATCTTAATTTCATCTTAGAATAAGTAAAATTTACTTAATTATTAGAGTAGAAGAAAATTATTTCGTCTTAATTTACTTAATTTCAAATAGAGTAGTCTAAAAATAAATTTTATAAGTAATAAGACAAAATAACAATAAGCATTATTAAATTTAATTTCATGAAATGGACACAAAATTAAACATTTTTATTAGATAAAAAGTTCCAACATGCACTACAAACACAAACTAAAATTTGATTACTATGGTAGTGATCATAACGAACAATTTTCTTTTTCAACGGCGTTTGTTATGCACTTCTTCATCCTGCTCATCGCGGGTTCAACAGGCTAGTTCCACAAGTAGTCAATTTCTTCAGCAGCAGCATCATCAATAGGTTTCATAAGTCTAAGTATTTGTCCTATTCTATCAATTTTTCTCCCTAAAGTATCCCAATCAGGCTTTATTTCTGCAGACCCCTCTGTTTTTTCCACAGACTTTTCCACAGATTTTTCCGCACATTTTTCCTCACTTTTTTCCATTGTTAGCTATAATTTTACACTACAAAACCGAAGTTTGTTTTTACTAGTAAAGTGATGATACATTTTATGTACCTCAACAGACCTATTTATACTAAAAAATGTAAACGCTTTGTCTCGGATAATAACGTGCCAAAACCGTTCCAAAGTATTCCAGAAACTACCCTAACGTCTCTATTTGGCACGGTTTATTCCGTGCCAAATCTGTTCCAAAGGAGTTCTGACACCTCGGTAACAGAGGTTCAGACAATTATTACGCGTGGCTAGACTGGGACGGATAATGTCGTGCCAAAGCCGAGACAATTTCAAAATTAATGAAACCGATGCAACGATGTTTACTACGGTGGGACGGCTTGTGGCTCAATTTTTTTCCGAGCCAACACCGAACCGTCTTAGCGAAGAGTCAGGATACAGAGGAGTCTCGGACAGTCCTTCACAATTTCCGTGGCAAAGAAAAAAATATTTAATCCGTACTTCAACATTTTCACCCGCATTCCCTAAACCCCTAAGCCCATTTACCTCTGTGAAACCCTAACCCTACTCGATCTCATCCCTCTCTAACTCTACTCTCATCCTTCTCTTACTCTACTCTCATCCTTCCCTTACTCTACTCTCTTCCTTCTCTTCCACAATGAACGCCGCCGCTCAAATAACTCCGGGACGATGACGCCGCCGCTCAATCTACTCCAGGACGCTGACGCCGCCGCTCAATCTTGTTTCTGAAACCGCTCTGTCATCTTCTTAGGTCATATCTACATTTATTTCGTATGTTTTTATAAATTTTCTATTCTTTATACGAAATAGAAGGTATTCGTTATGAACTCTTTTTCGGTTCATAACCTTTCTATAAAATTGGTTGTTTTATATGAAACCCATATCTTATGCGAAAATATATCGGCGTTAAACTATTTTATTTTCAATATGTAAAATTTTAAAAAAATTCCATTCTTTCCTTAACTCTTTTTACGAAACAGAAAGTATTGTGTAAAAAATGGTTTAATGGTTATTTTATAAATAAACCAAAATTGTTGTTAAAAATGGTTATTTTATATATAAACCATTTTTTATGTTAAAATATATCGGCTTACCAGTCTCTTCTCTTCGTTAAAATTTTTTATTTTAAATATTTTCTATTCTTTTGTAAACTATTTTTACAAAATAAAAGGCATTCTTTATTAGTCAGAAAATTTCATTGATACCATCCTGTATAATAACATACTGAGTAGTATTTTTACTATGTTCAGTCTGTATAATAAGTATGTTAAATGAATGAACTATAGTAGTCTGTTAAGCCTTGAATCTATGAACTGATTTCATTGTATAAGTCTGTTATACTTCATTCATTGTTCAGTCTGTATGATACATATGTTCAATCAATGAAGTATATTGGTCTGTTAATGCTTGAATGTATGAACTGATTTTATTGTATAAGGCTGTTATACTTCAATGATTTATCAGTCTGTATGATAAGTATGTTAAATGAATGAAGTATACTAGTCTGTTAAGCCTTGAATCTATGAACTGATTTCATTGTATAAGTCTGGTATACTTCATTCTGTTAGCCTTGAATCTGCGCGTCTTGAAGATAACTGCGCAGTTATCTTCAAGAATTCATTTGAATGCCTTCTCGATTGAAGTTTTAGTTGACATTTGGTATGAGTAAACTAGACTTAATGAATAAGATGCTCAAAAAATTTCATCAAAAAATTCCACCGAGAACTACCCTAAATGGCAACGGCCGGACAGAATCTTCTATATAAATGCTTATTTGACCTTTTTATGTAAGTTCGAGGAGTATTTTCCCAATAAAGAATGAATGATGGGAAAAGGATCTTGGCCAGGGTAATACAAAACGCGGCATAAACTCGTAGAAATACCCTCGCTATCTACTTCAATTCCTATCTGGGCGATTAGATGGAGTTTAATTAGAATCCCGGCCATATACTCATATGAATGAGTGTAGGTTTCCTAAAATCTGATAGCAATAAATCTATTCAGGAATAGTATTAAATTTATATGCCTAGACTATCAGAATCTTTTGAGCAATGAAGTGGTTCGGATATAGATTGGCATATTAGATTGATGATCTGAGTGGGCGGGCGGGTTTTACTCCCATCCGGTCCCTCTTCATTATTTACCTCATTTGGTACACTCATCGAATCAGATATACACCGGTGGGCGTAGCTCAACTGGTAGTAAGGGAGTGCCACAAGGGTTAGGTCTCGGGTTTGAATCCCGGCAACTGTGATGAGGGGTTACTATGCTGAAAAATGCATAGGGTCTCTGCAAGTACCGGGGACAGAGCCCCACTCTCTATCTGTCAGATTGTGATTATAGTCCAATTTACATCCTCCCATCGTGCCGTCCGGTCGGTGGTGGGGGGCCCTCAGGGATGGGGTGTCATCCTTTTTTTTTTATCGAATCAGATACACACACACATACGTATGGTCCGTACGGAGTATTCTTTTACTACCTAGCGGGGTGATAATTACTGTCTAATTAAGATTGTTAAAATCCATATTATCTACTCCTTCCTTCCAAATAAAGTTCTTGTTTTGACCTATACACATAAGGAGTATTTATGCAGGCTAGAATTTTATTTTAACTTTTCAAAAATATCCTTACTTTAATTTATGTGAGATCAAACAAAAAGTAGATAAAAAAATAAGGGTAGTTTGAGATACTTTGCTTAAAACTGAATTCCTTTTATAGAAATGAAAACTTTTTTTTAAACACTCATTAAAGGAAAGTGGGAACTTCCTTTTGAGACGGAGGCAGTACATATATATATTGACGGAGGTAGGTAAAGGGTAGCGGGTCTTGACCCCCAATTTTTTTAATTTTGAAAAGAATAAGTATTAGTAATGTATGGAATAATTAGAAAAGATCAGGTCAAAACTACTTGATAAAAGACCCAAACTGAGATGCTTCCACGTAGAACTTTTTGATAAAATTCTGTGAGTATAGAGTTTTGGTGAAAAGAAGATTATGTCAACCAAATTATAGCTTAAAATTGAATTAACTAAATTATCAAAAAACACTGCATTATTTTATACTAAGTATATATCTTGGCGCAGTATTTAATTTTCAATAATTTATTTAATAGACTTCACAATTGAATTTTAAATTGAACTTTGATGTAAATAATTGCACATCATGAAAAACACTCTCATAAAATTCATCATAAAAAATCACCCGAAAGCACCACAAACTTGGGATTTTGAGTAGTTTTGACATGATCATTTCTCATGAAATATGTTTCGTCCTCAGGAAATAGGAAAGATTAAGTTCTATATATGAATAAAATTGGTTTAAAATTTTCCAAAATACAAGTGAATAAGTCATATTTTGAGAATAAAATAATTATAACTCAATTTGATTTATTAACTTTAATTTTGTTTTAATCTTCTCTAGAGAAATTTGTCTTTATTGATTTGTATTTTATGACTAAATCCTCACTCCACTCCTCTATATAGATAGATGTATGCCCTAATAATTAGCTTTCACGACGATGGAATACATTATATAGATGGATCATATATTAAGCAGTTGGTAGCTAGGTATAGTAGTGATAATGAGTGTGCCTGTATATAAATATTATTGGAGCTGAGGTGAAGTAGCTAGCTTAGCTTAGCTTAGCTAGCTAGATGATGTTAGGAGGTTCATTTGGTTCATCACCATCATCATCATCAAGATCCCACGACAAGCAACCCCAACATTTCCTTGATATTCACAATAATACTAACCAGCAGCATCGTCGGAATCACGATCAGGGGATCGGCTTGCGCCACCTCCTCATAACCTGCGCCGAGCTCATCTCCAGATCTGACTTCTCCGCCGCCCACCGCCTCCTCTCCTTCCTCTCCACGCGCGCCTCCCCTCTCGGCGACTCCACCGAGAGGCTCGCGCATCAGTTCGCCCGCGCCATCTCTCTCCGCCTCCACCGCCACGTCGCTGCGCCGCCCTCCCCGTCTCTCCTCCAGTCCTCCTACCTCGCTCTCAACCAAGTCACGCCCTTCCTCCGCTTCACTCACCTCACCGCCAACCAGGCCATCCTCGAGGCCGTCGAGGGCGGCGGCCAGCGGCAGGCGGTCCACATAGTGGACTTCGACATCATGCACGGAGTCCAGTGGCCGCCCCTGATGCAAGCCTTAGCGGAGCGGTACCCGCCGCCCACGCTAAGGATCACCGGCAGCGGGCGGGACCTCGACACCCTCCGGAGGACCGGAGACCGTCTCGCGAAATTCGCTCACTCGCTGGGGTTGCGGTTCCAGTTCCACCCGCTGCTGGCTCTCGGCGGGGAAGACGAGCCCCCGCCGCTTTCATCTATTGTGCTGCTCCCGGACGAGACCCTGGCCGTGAACTGCGTGATGTACCTGCACCGCCTGCTGAAGAACCGGGATCGGCTCGGGCTGTTGCTCCGGAGGATCAAGGACGAAATGAGGCCGAAGGTGGTGGCGGTGGCGGAGAGGGAAGCGAGCCACAACCACCCGCTGTTCCTGAAGAGATTCGTGGAGGCGGTGGACCACTACGCGGCGGTGTTCGACTCGCTGGAGGCGACGCTGCCGCCGAGCAGCAGGGAGAGGTGGGAGGTGGAGCAGGTGTGGTTCGGGGGCGAGATAGCGGACATCGTGGCGGCGGAGGGAGGGAAGAGGAGGGAGAGGCACGAGAAGTTCGCGTGCTGGGAGGGTATGCTTCGGGGGTCGGGGTTTAGGAGTTTGGGGCTGAGCCCCTTCGCTGTGTCCCAGGCTAACCTGCTTCTGCGGCTCCACTACCCTTCGGAAGGGTACCACCTCCGCCTCATGCCCGATTCCAACTCGCTATACCTGGGGTGGCAAACCCAACCACTCTTCTCTGTCTCTTCTTGGCACTGATTCATATATAGTCGATCTCATATATATCCATCCATCTATATACGGAGTATATCATTCTTGCCTGCCCGCCCCAAGCTTAATTAGCTTCAGATCGATCCTTGATCATATCCAATGGGGCCAAGACCGGGAGCGGATTCATCATAATCATAATGGAAACCCTAACCCTAGCTAAACCCTAATTATCTATCCATTGATTTCCTCGGATCCTGCGGCCCAAAGCAAACTTGCATGGCTGGAGATGGCATCAAACATTTCAATCGATTGTTTTTGTTCGTTCGTTGTTATTGTAAGGTAAAAGTTAACTCGATCAAACCTTCAGTTATATTGGATGATACTAAATGTATGTAATTAATATATATATATATAATGCGCACTTAATTAGGGTGTAAGTCTATTATATATAATGATGATAATGAGTATATATATGTATTCTACCCTGCATGCGGATGTTGATTACACGTATCTTTTGTCGTTTTAATGAAGTATACATCCACCAATATAATAGTCCACAACTCCACATTCGTATTTTTGGTTTGCTCTTATCATTGTTATACTTGGATTGGGTTGAGATTTACAATACCTTCACTGATCCTACAATTTTTAGCATTAACCAACAATAATCTAACCCTTAAATAATTAAAACAATACGATAATGCGCAAATTAAACCAGTAAGAGTTTGTTTTAGTGGGATTTTTGCCTTTAATTAATCAATGGTAGAGTTATATACCTGCTAGTACTTGCAAACTAAAATTACAAATGCAACTCTCACTTTTAATAGTTTTATACCTAGTACGGAGTAATAAATAAGGGCAATGACATTAGTATATATAAAAGCATCTTAGATAGCTAATGTGTGATGCCGTCATTGACTATGACTTCTACACCATGGTAGTGTCACTAGAGAGGGTCGTGGTGCTATTGCTCAAAGAAAAATGCTAAAGGCACCCCAACTTGTACCCCATTTTATACCCCCACCTCTATTTTGTGGTCACAATTGGAGCAATACTTTTAAGTGGGGCAACACTTTTAAGTGTGGCCTCATTTGGACCACATAATGTGTGGTGTAAGAATGGGGTACCCCAAAATGGGGTACCTCTAGCACGGTTGATTGCTCAAATCTTGTACTCCCTCCGTCCCATAAAATTGTTCCCTCATTGACTTGAATTGGAGTTTAAGAAAGTGAGAATAAAGTGGAAATGTATAGTTGTGGTTGTGTAAGGAAAAAATAAATGAATATGAGTTATACAAAACTTTCCAAAAGGGGAAAGTTGAACAATTTTTTGGGACGGCCCAAAAAGGAAATCGGGAACAATTTTTTTGGGACGGAGGGAGTATGAATGTTTCCTTCCCTACAACAACACATCCGACTTTAATTATACCATCTTTGGCATATATACAGGTCAAATGTTCATTAGCGCCTTACTAGGCAGCTACATTAACGTAACGGTTCAGCTATGAATATACCACAAGGGGTGGAGTTATGCTAAGGTAGTTTTTTTTAAAAATGTATGCTAAGGTAGTTATTATCTCCAATTAACATGGTAGAATTGAAGAGCCACTTTTTTTTTATCAAATATCTCAAAACCCTAATTGGACGATACCTCATCAAAATCAATGTTCAACTTGCACCACCCTAAAAAATCAACGATCCGTTATTGCTTTGCTTCTCCAGAAGAAGAGCTCGACCTCTTCATTGCACCTTCTGATATCCCTCATATGACCTATGTCCATCTTCTTGGTTGCTAATCCTCTCAATGGAGTAGATTCCATCAATTAATGTCTCAAACGGCGGGGACCCCAACAACGTAACGCTTCACCTAGCTAAATTCTAGAGGACATATCCCGCATGAGATTTTTTTTATCATCTCATAACACATGAGATTAGAACATCCAAATCATATCAAATCTTTAAAAAAAAATTAGAAAGAAATATTTAAATCATACTAGTATAAATTAATGGAGTAATTTCATAATCTCACTGAGAGACTGGGTATATGAAGCAACATATAGTATTAGGTTTTAACCTGTTTCAAAACACAAAAATTAGCTCAATCGAATAAACGCGCTGAAATTTTGTCTAAAGTGACTTGATGAATTGAATTTTCTGAATTATAAAAATTAAAATATATTTTATTAATAAATAAAGAAATAATCTGTATAAAAGTAGGTAAAACAAAGAGGTACCGCAAACACAAACAATTTAACAAAACAAAAAAAAAATCTGACTTATTTCAATTATTACACAATTTAGCTTGTGAAATGTAATATTATACCCTCTCAATCCCTTATAACTTTGTCAACTATATTTAGTGGTCATGTCCACTAGCTTTGTTTCTTTTTAATAAAGAATTTGTAATACTAATACGTAGTTGTTAATTTTTTTCTCCTTAATAAAAATTTTCTTGTTCATTACGCAAATCATTAACAAATACGGAGTATGGATGTTTTCTTTGGACTGTTTTCAGTATCAGACCAGACCAGACCAGACTTAACTTCCGTAGTTATAAAATACACAGAGACCAGACATTTATCAGACTAGTTCAGATCATACCAGATCAGACCAGACAGAAAACATCATATACCGGTTTTTATTTCATTAGTCTCTTTCCCATTAACTTTAATAAGGAATGAGAGACTATGAATTACCAAAGAGGTATTTACTGTGAAATGAAGTTGAGAAAAAGGAGAGGCAAGTGGTAGAAGTTTTGACGCCCGCCCACGCAACATACACCTGTGTGTACTGTAGGGTTTGTTTGCGTGCTTCTATATAAATTCTTACTAAATTAATTGATGGCTCATTTGATAAGATGGTACACGCATGGCAATGATTTGGGCAATAGGGCTTGGGTAGTCACGTCGCCCTAACTCAATTTATGCTCCTTTATTTTATCAAAATGCCATACTTACCTGACTTGTCTCGCAGTTTATTCCACTTTAATGTTCATCATCAACTCTGATATCAGATCTTTCTACTCCCATCATTACCACAAAAACAATTAAGAAACCGATGAAGAGAAGCCTGTCAGCAGACGCGATGAGAGTAATGGAGGACGTAGGAAGCATCCGAATAGTCAGAAAGGCGTCCCTCCTCCCACTGATATAGTATTTCATTTTATTTTATACTCCCTCCTTCCCATAAAATCGTTCCCGCATTGACTTTGATCGGAGTTTAAGAAAGTGAGAATAAAGTGGAAATGTATGGTTGTGGTTGTGTAAGAATAAGGTAAATGAATGTGAGCCACACAAAACTTTCCAAAGGGGAAAATGTAACATTTTTTTGGGATGGCCCAAAAAGGAAACCGGGAACAATTTTTTGGGACGGAGGGAGTATTCTCTATGCCTTATATTGATTTGACTGAATGATTATTTAAGTGATTTTTTTAAACAAGGCGGCTTATATTGATAATAAAACATTCAGCAGAGGACAAAAGAGATAAATGGATCATTTCCAGTCATCGACTCTCGAACCAGCCTGAGAATCAATCACCCTAGACAGAGCAATATGATTCGCTAATTCTATAATGTGTCTAAATGAGCCTATCATGACCAGAGAAAAACCCTCATCACCCCTACCTAATGTAAGAGTCTGACAGAAAAAACAATTGTGACGGAAATAAACAAGCTCTTAGCAAAAAGCATAAAAATAAAGACAGTAAAAAAAGTGAAAATTAAGCTAAACCCTCATGCATGATCACGAACGAGCTCCTACGCGCCCTCTTTAGAGGTGCAAAAATCTTCACAAATCTCAGCGGGTTGAGGAGTCTGAACCCGCCCCCTCACTGTTATATTCCTCCCAAGTCATCTTGTGCTTAGGTTCTCTTATGTCTCCCTCCGCAAATACTTTGCCTTGAGTTTCCATCCGGCCCTTGCTGCCCCCAGTCAAAGAAAGTATCTGATAATGTTGTGATTTTATTATGTATTGTTTCACTTTTAATTAGTTTTATTGTTTATGGTTCGAGAATTTTGGTGTAATTAGTTTATTTTCCTAGATAGATGTAATTTGTTTAGATTAGGATTATTCTGAGCTTAAAACAGGTCAAGATCATCCAAAGGATCAAGATTTGACCCCAAAAGATCAAGGAAAGTGCAATGGGACAAGATAAAAAGAAGATTGAGAAAATATTTCATATACCCGGTCGGGTATAGGCAATACCCGATCGGGTATTGAGTTGATTCGGGTGTCAAAATCAGAATCTGGAGAGACAAAAAAACGTGCAGGATTTTGAAGATTTGGATCATACCCGGCCGGGTATGTCAAGAAAAGTGATTTTCCGGGAAACTGCCTAAAATATATACCCGATCGGGTACCCTATATACCCGATCGGGTACACAACCCTGGCACCTCCTAACACCTATAAATACACTCCTTTTCCTTCATAATAAGACTATTCCTTCTTCCATACTCTTAAGATCAACTTAGAATAGTATTTCTTTTATATTTTTATAGCATGTTTAGTCTCCAAATGAGGAGCTAAACTTCCATTTCTTGGTGTTGCTCTTGAAACTTGTTGATTATTAAAGTTGTGAGTTATTTTCTTAACTTCTTCCCTTGAATATTAATTCTTCTTTTAATCTATCTATATATTAATGTTGGGGAGTGTTGCTAAGATGACAATTAGTTAACATCTCGACATTAGTTATAGTAGTATTTATTTTCTTCCTCTATATATTAATGTTGGGGAGTTTTGCTAAGATGACAATTAGTTAACATCTTGACATTAGTTATAGTAGGATTTTTCATCTTTAATATTCTTCCTTGATTATTAATTAATTCCTATTCATATTTCAGATTAATTTATTGAACATTACTTAAAGGATCAACTAGTTTTGTTTCATTTATTAATTATTACTAGAATCGATCGACGAATACGCTTGTTAATCGTTGATGGTTTCACAAGTAAGTAACTTCGGTTTATTAATGCACGGTCGTGGTTAATAAACTTAAGAAGGATTAATTTTGTTGGTTAAACCAAAATCGTTGTGTTGAGGTTATCAATTTCAATTGATTTCATCAAGGAGCTAAGAGATTAAATGTTACTATCAAGTCGGTATATGGCGGTGTTCTATACTTGACTAATAGTAAGGGTTATTAATGAACGGTCGTTGTTAATAACTACCCTCGATGAATTGGATATACTCCTCGATTGAGTATTCGAGAAGGGATAAGTTATAGATATAACAATGATCGACTAAAATATATCAACAAGTGGAAAGTAGCAATGCCAGTCCTTTTTATCTTTAAATTAAATCACATATAAGTTGTTCATCTTTGTGTTTAATTAAATTAAATCATTCAATCCTAAACCACCCTTTTATTTACTAGTTTTATAAAAAGAAAATTATTCCTTTCCATGTGGATACGAACTCTACTACGCTATACTACGTATAAGTGTTAGTATTGAATTTATTTTGACGCACCGTGACAAAGTGCTCGTCAGTACCCAATCCCTTCTACTTGGACCCTCACTCCCATTTCCTTTCTTGCCCTGTCCTTCCAGAACAAGCCATTTATTTCCCCCCAATGACTGAGACCTCCTCCCTCCTCCTGCACGCAGACCGACCCCATATGCCTGCCTTTGTTGTCTCCACAGTTTTATTCTCATAAGTCAAAAGGCAGAACTTGTCAGCATGCCCTATAATACCACAGACAAAGCAAAAGCTAGGCAACTTTTCATATTTAATTTCAACCCAGTGCCCTTCTCCCTGCCCCTTCCTGAGGGTCGTGCCTACCTTCAGCGGTTTCCCCACATCCAGGGAAACACTAATCCTCATATAAGTTTTCCATTTTTTTTCAAATTGACTCGTATCAAAACTAATAACAAATTACCAATAGAATTCTCAATCCTCCTGGCAGCCCCCAAGTTCATAAAATCATATGGGACATCATGCACTTGAACCCGAAATTCAGTTTCATTTAAAGGAACACGAAGGGGCACATCCCCTGGCTTTAACGCCCGAAGAATTAACAAATTATGTTCGAAAATCCACGGACCACCTTCAATCACACGTTCCAAATTAAGAATATGATAGAATGTGAACATGTACCTATAACAGGCCTCCTGAGTTGAGCCATAAGATTTCTAAATACCGGAAACTTCACCATTCTGTCCGTAATCACAGTACCCACCACAAGGAAAGTCTCTTCATCAGCCGAAGCTTCAACATCGTCGACGGGCTCTTCCTCAAAAACAATCTCCTCATCTTTATCCCCAATAGTCATGTCCTTGTATTTATCAGCAATATCCTCCATTCCTCTTGCCACAAGAATCCGTCGAGTAGCAACAAAAAAAACAGCCACCGAGAAATCTTCCCTCTTCAACCGAACCTTTGGGACGATCGATATCAAACACGGAAAAGCAGTCCAAGAAACTGAGCCGAAACCCAGAATAATACGACTGTCACGAACGACAACATCCTATCAAACCCTAGAGCTCTACGGAGTCGCCAGCTTTTTCCTCTTGGGGTCTAATAATTCTTGATTATTTAAGTGATTAAAAAGTAAAACTTGAGTTGAGATATATCTTAGGGAAAACTGTCAAATATGTCCTCGAACTTTCATAAAAATGTCTAATAAGTCCTTATATAGGAGGCTCTGTCCGGCCGTCGCGATTTGGGGCGATTCCCGGTGGAATTTTTTATGAAACTTTTTGAGCATCTTCTTCATCAAGTCTAGTTTACTCATACCAAATTCAAATTAATTCTTGAAAATAACTGCGCATCTAACTGCACAGTTATCTTCAAGAATTAATTTGAATGCGTTCCCGATTGAAGTTTTACCTGAAATTCGGTATGAGTAAACTAGACTTGATGAATAAGATGCTCAAAAATTTCATCAAAAAATTTCACTGGGAACCGTCCCAAATCGCGACGGCCGGACAGAGCCTCCTATATAAGGACTTATTTGACTTTTTTATGAAAGTTCGAGGACCTATTTGACAGTTTTTTCTATATATTATTAAAAGGGAAAGTTCCCGAAATAGGACTAAAAAAGTTAGAAAATTCCAAAATAGGACTTTCATGTTTTTATTCCCAAAATAGGAGTAATTACTGCCAAGTTTGGAAAATACTGTCATGTTTGAAGTCTGATACTGTCAAAACATGGCAGTAATTAGTCGTATTTTGGGAATAAAAACATGACAGTCCTATTTTGGAATTTTCTAACTCTTTTAGTCCTATTTCGGGTAATATCTCTTATTAAAATAACTTGAAATATTTGTGGAATACGGAGTACTCCCTCCGTCCCAAATTGTTTTGCAAAATCAACATTTTTTGGTCAACTAATAATAAAAGTCAATGCTTTGTATCGATAATTCATTCAATTTTTAATAATTAAAATTTACATATTCGGAAACTACAATAAAATCTCTTCAAAGTTGCAAACTTCAAATTAGAATATAATTAAAAGTTGACATCTTAATTAAGCGAATAAAATGAAACTGTTTGACTAAGAAAAGTCAAATTTGCAAATCAATTTGGGACGGAGGTAGTATTTCTTATTATTAGTGTTGAGTTTTAATGGTTGTTGAGTGAGACAGTTGAGTTGAGGTCTCAAGTACAATTTCTGACAATGCCATTGTGTAAGTTTCATCTAATATGGTGACTCATTGTCCACTATATTTATGGTTACTCAAAAACTGTATGAGATTATAGCACGATTTACGCTAGAAATAAGCAATTCCACCTTTAGCGTTGACTAGTAGTATTGAGGTTAAAGATTGATGTCCTGCTTTCAATATCAATTTTTTTACTCAGTATTGAAGTCTTCGATTGATTCCCTCGTGAAAGATCCAATTGATTATTAGAAATTCCTGGACAACTGTTTGCACTTAGATGTTAAGAATAATTTTAAGAAGAAACATTAGTTCATTGGAAAAGAAAAAAGCGTTATTATTTAAATCCTAACTGAAAACAGTATTGTTTCCTTCTCGAGTAAAACATCTCATGGTATAGTAATCATCAACTACATATTTTAAAATCATACACTAAGAGCCCGTTTGGTAGCACCAAAATCGGCTGTTTTGGCTGATTCTGCTGAAATTTATGATATTCTGGCTGGAGTGGCTGTTTTGGCTGATTCTGCTGATTTAAGAAAAAATTATTTTAAAAATATATTTTATTAATAAATTAAAGAAAAAATTATATGTAAAAATAGCTAAAATGGTCCTCTACAGTAACTTCAGCCAATACAGCCAGAAAAGTAACTCCAACCTTACTTTTTCGGCTTATTACACAATTCAGTGCGCGAAAGTAAAAGTTACGTGTTTGGTGAAAAAGCTGGCTGATAAGCCTGATAAGCCGAAAACAGAGTTCTCCAAACGGGCTCTAAAAATATATACTTCGTATCATCAAATTCCTATCGTATCTCATGTTTATTGAACATATTTATGAGACATATTTTCATAGAACTTATGAAAGTTGTAGCTCTTCAATTATTTATCTTTCGATTGCTTTAAAGAACGGTTTGAATTGATAATCCCGTAGTTTATACGATCCAATTTCAACCATATATCACATTATTTGAATTTATTTATGATAAACTTTGATCCAGAAGTGACACGTATCTATTCTTTATCAAAGTGGTATCCTGAAGGATTTGTTTGTATGTAACCTTATTTTGAGGTTATTGGTATTATCAACCAATCATATAACTTTTTATTTTGCACATAGAATTCTGTAATAACTACAATAAATAATGTAGGGGTTATTTTCTGGTTGAGCTGATTGAATTTACTGTAGAGAACCATTTAGCTATTTATATATTATTTTTTCTTTATTTTATTAATAAATATAATTTATTTTTATTTACCATATATTATCATTGTTAGAGAATATTTTATGGTGTCCAATCGTGTTTAATATATTTGCATTTTTGTTGTTATAAATTAGTTAATTAGACCGAGCCTACTTAATGTTAGAAGTCCATTTATCTTTATTTAAGCTCATTGTAACGGGCCTAACATTCAGACCTATAAAGTCTGAGGGATAGACTCGAAAACCTCAGGCATCACGATGTAGACATACTCATAGTCACATGACTCACATTTGTAGAGTGAGAGAGAGGAGTGAGTCGAGTGGCAGTTCATACCAAATTTCTTAAACATTTTTTACTGAACTGGAGCTTCTCTTCTTCTCTATTCTGTCTTATTGTTCATTTATTGGTTGGAAACGGGACAAATAATTGGGCTCAAAATAACATACAATATACAAAATTTCTTTATCATATTTTGCCGTTCAACTAGTAGAATTTCATCGATCAATCCCTACAAATTCAATGTTACTAAGTTAATCGTGTTCAAAATAACATTCAATCGATTGATAAAAATGGGATCAAATAGGGAATCCTACACTAACATATGATTAAATTTATACCATATATCACATTGATTTTAAAAGATTTCCATATTAACAGTGGTCCGTGGTTGTCCCTTACAACATTAATAAATTCTTACAACGTACTTTGATGTTACTAAATGATGTATCCCTTAGAACAAAGTACAATAATATCATCATCTAAGGTGCTGTTCTGTTCGTCTTAGGTGCTGTTCTGTTCGTCTTATTCTTATTACTTATTGCTTATTCTTATTTTATTCAGATCAGATCAGATCAGAAAAATTCAGATCAAATCAGATCAGATCAGAAAGATTCAGATCAGATCAGAAAGATTCAGATCAGATCAGATCAGATCAGAAAGATTCAGATCAGATCAGAAAGATTCAGATCAGATCAGATCAGACCAGATCAGAAACATTCAGATCAGATCAGAAACATTCAGATCAGATCAGAAAGATTCAGATCAGATCAGAAAGATTCAGATCAGATCAGAAACATTCAGATCAGATCAGATCAGAAAGATTCAGATCAGATCAGAAAGATTCAGATCAGATCAGATCAGACCAGATCAGAAACATTCAGATCAGATCAGAAACATTCAGATCAGATCAGATCAGATCAGAAAAGTTCAAACATGATTTATCACTTTTATTATTATATTAATTATTATTATTAATATTGTTATTACTATTATGATTATTATTATTATATAATTATTATTAATATATTAATAATAATATGATAAAGAAATAAGATATTAATAATAGTTATAATATTTTAATATAATAATATTAATATAATAATATCGTTATGATAATATTAATTGTATTTATAGTACTATTATTATATTATAATATTATAATTAATGTTAACATAAATATAATTATTATTAATTATAATTATAATAATTATAGTTATATTATTATATTATTATATTTAAATTAATGTTAATATAATTATAATTATTATTAATTATAATTATAATAATTATAATTATAATTATATTATAATTATAATTTATGATTATAATTATTATTTTTATTATAATTATTATTATTATTATTATTACTACTTTTGTAATTATTTTACGGAGTAATTATAATAATATTGATAACTATAGTTACAATTATAGAGATAAATATTTTAATTATAATTACAATTATAATTATATAAGTAATTATAGTTAAAAATATAATTACGGTTATAATTATATCTATATTTATAATTAGTGTAATAGGTATAAATTTTTTTCATTTTAAATTTAATTTTAATTATTATTATTATTATTATTATAGTTACGATTATAATTATAATTTTATTTAAATTATATTTGTAATTGCAATTATAATATTTATAATTATAATTATAATCATAGAAACATTCAAATCATATCAGAAAGATTCAGATCAGATCAGAAGGATTCAGATCAGATCAGAAACATTCAGATCAGATCAGACCAGATCAGAAACATTCAGATCAGATCAGAAAGATTCAGATCAGATCAGATCAGATCAGAAAGATTCAGATCAGATCAGATCAGATCAGTAAGATTCATATCAGATCAGATCAGATCAGAAAAATTAAGATCAGATCAGATCAGAACTTAAAAAATTCAGATCAGAAACATTCAGATCAGGCGAAGAGAACAACTTCTAATTCTTATTACTTATTGCTTATTCTTATTTTATTCAGATCAAATCAGATCAGATCAGAAAAAATCAGATCAGATCAGATCAGATCAGAAAGATTCAGATCAGATCAGATCAGAAAGATTCAGATCAGATCAGAAAGATTCAGATCAGATCAGACCAGATCAGAAACATTCAGATCAGATCAGAAACATTCAGATCAGATCAGATCAGAAAAGTTCAAACATGATTTATCACTTTTATTATTATATTAATTATTATTATTAATATTGTTATTACTACTACTATTATTATTATTATTATTATTATTATTATTATTATTATTATTATTATTATTATTATTATTATTATTATTATTATTATTATTATTATTATTATTATTATTATTATTATTATTATTATTATTATTATTATTATTATTATTATTATTATTATTATTATTATTATTATTATTATTATTATTATTATTATTATTA